ACCCCCCATCCCTTCCCCAAGGGGGCGGGGAAAGAGGGAAAGGGGGGGGGGGGAATAAGGGTGGAGAAGATTAGTCGGGGGTTCAGAGACCCCGAAGATCGACTGAGATCCAATGGGAAAAAGGCCGCGCTGACTGTGCCACGTCAACAGGAATGAACTTTTTCTGAGCTCCGGGGGTTATACTTCACCTGTTTGAGTAGGTGCTTAGGTAGAGATAGAGCGACGACGTTCGAATTTACTCGCCTGCTGTCAAAACACAGAGGGTATGCCGTCGCGTCGCCTTTGTTTTGACAATGTGTTTCGATTTGAAAAGAATGTCTTTGAAGGTTCCTTTGAAGGCGATCGTACCACTGCTTTTTTTTCCTCCTTTCGAATCTCGTCCATTTGTTACCACCTCAAAAAACATTTTGATGGACAAAGTTAAAAAAGACTTAAGGTCCGCCTTAAGGTCATTTAAGGTGGCCCTATGTGTCTTAAAATGAAAGTCTATACTCTGTATTTCAGGGGCCACATACTACCTTATAAGATGTCCAGTGGGCCGGACCAGTACGTAATTACCTATAAATAACAATAAGGCCGTGTTTATACCCTTTGTTTTCCTGCAAATTTTTCAAAGTTTATTAGAAAATATTCATATTTAATGAAATATCATAAGTGTTTCGTTACCTTCAAATTTCATCAAGCGGGCCGCATTGAAACCCCTAGTGGGCCGTTTTTGGCCCACGGGCCGTATGTTTGGAACCCCTGGTCTGTGCTAATGTTCCCTAGATCTGTTATGTGCAGTAGTCAAATCTCTTCCATATGCATGGCGGTTGGTTTACAATTCTAATTCTCTTATTCAAATGTTTTATATTTAGATTTTTTTTTTTCATGCAGTTCAAATTACAACATTTTCTGTTTTTTTTTTTTTTTTTTTAGCACTAGACTTAGTGAATGTTAATCCTGTTTATCCTTGTAGACTTTGTTACATGGCTACTGGTCGAGAGAGATAAAGTGGGAGGGGCTTGGCTAAGACTGTTAAAGACGGCATAAGGTATAAGGACGTAGAAATATATGGGACATATGGAGGAATAGGTGTCCCTCAAGGAACTAAGTTTGGACTATAACAGTCTCGGAGTTGCATCCAGGTACTTAACAGCGCCTCCTGTGGCAGCAGTGGGTTGCAAAGACTCACACAAAATTTTTGAATTATGCGTGAGAAAAAAACAAGAACGGTTGCTTTGCTTTGTTTATACAAAATGATTTATTTTTTCTATTTTTTGCGACTGAATTTTTTTGTAGTGTGGCAGTCTGTCAGTTTCTTTCTGAACCTGTTACACAGATCATTGTTCAGCAAACGTGACCAAGACTGGAGCCAAATGTTACGGTCAATATTTTGTCATTTAAGCCATACTATCAGCAAACGTGACCAAGACTGGAGCCAGCTCAATATTTTGTCGTTTAAGCCATACCACAAAAAAACAAACAAAAACAAAAAAAACAAACAAAAAAAAAACGGCCACAAAGCCTCTTCAATGTATTACTTTTAATTCAGTGCAGTTCAGGTCTGTAACCAGTTGGAGGAGCAAGAGAGAAAAACATTATGATTTGATGCTTGACTGCGCCTCTCATTGCCAGAAATGTTTTAATTTCTCCTCATCCTTTTTTTTTTTTTTTTTTTCTTTTTTTTTTTTAACCATCAAACACATTCCGGATAAAAGCCTTCAGGCTGTTGTTCCTCCATTAGATCTTATTGGACCTGACAAATCAAATTAGGATTAACCCAGATAGTAGATTTACAGCCCTGTAAAAGATGTTTTAGATGTAGATAAAAATCCAATTCTCATCAGTTGCTGTGCAGAAGCTGTAAAAGTTCGAGATATTTTCCCAAAACGTTCGTAAAACAACTTTTTTCTTCTTGCGATGTGATGACACGAGCCGGACGTAAATCTGCCTGCAGTTTACTGGACTCCGAGGTGTCCAGTAAACCACGCTGTTTTCGGGTGATTTACAGCAGCGCCGCATTTACATGGTCACCTGCTCGGTCGGGGGAAGTCTGACTGCATGGAATATTC